CATCATCATCATCATCATCATCATCATCATCATCATCATCATCATCATCATCATCATCATCATCATCATCATCATCATCATCATCATCATCATCATCATCATCATCATCATCATCATCATCATCATCATCATCATCATCATCATCATCATCATCATCATCATCATCATCATCATCATCATCATCATCATCATCATCATCATCATCATCATCATCATCATCATCATCATCATCATCATCATCATCATCATCATCATCATCATCATCATCATCATCATCATCATCATCATCATCATCATCATCATCATCATCATCATCATCATCATCATCATCATCATCATCATCATCATCATCATCATCATCATCATCATCATCATCATCATCATCATCATCATCATCATCATCATCATCATCATCATCATCATCATCATCATCATCATCATCATCATCATCATCATCATCATCATCATCATCATCATCATCATCATCATCATCATCATCATCATCATCATCATCATCATCATCATCATCATCATCATCATCATCATCATCATCATCATCATCATCATCATCATCATCATCATCATCATCATCATCATCATCATCATCATCATCATCATCATCATCATCATCATCATCATCATCATCATCATCATCATCATCATCATCATCATCATCATCATCATCATCATCATCATCATCATCATCATCATCATCATCATCATCATCATCATCATCATCATCATCATCATCATCATCATCATCATCATCATCATCATCATCATCATCATCATCATCATCATCATCATCATCATCATCATCATCATCATCATCATCATCATCATCATCATCATCATCATCATCATCATCATCATCATCATCATCATCATCATCATCATCATCATCATCATCATCATCATCATCATCATCATCATCATCATCATCATCATCATCATCATCATCATCATCATCATCATCATCATCATCATCATCATCATCATCATCATCATCATCATCATCATCATCATCATCATCATCATCATCATCATCATCATCATCATCATCATCATCATCATCATCATCATCATCATCATCATCATCATCATCATCATCATCATCATCATCATCATCATCATCATCATCATCATCATCATCATCATCATCATCATCATCATCATCATCATCATCATCATCATCATCATCATCATCATCATCATCATCATCATCATCATCATCATCATCATCATCATCATCATCATCATCATCATCATCATCATCATCATCATCATCATCATCATCATCATCATCATCATCATCATCATCATCATCATCATCATCATCATCATCATCATCATCATCATCATCATCATCATCATCATCATCATCATCATCATCATCATCATCATCATCATCATCATCATCATCATCATCATCATCATCATCATCATCATCATCATCATCATCATCATCATCATCATCATCATCATCATCATCATCATCATCATCATCATCATCATCATCATCATCATCATCATCATCATCATCATCATCATCATCATCATCATCATCATCATCATCATCATCATCATCATCATCATCATCATCATCATCATCATCATCATCATCATCATCATCATCATCATCATCATCATCATCATCATCATCATCATCATCATCATCATCATCATCATCATCATCATCATCATCATCATCATCATCATCATCATCATCATCATCATCATCATCATCATCATCATCATCATCATCATCATCATCATCATCATCATCATCATCATCATCATCATCATCATCATCATCATCATCATCATCATCATCATCATCATCATCATCATCATCATCATCATCATCATCATCATCATCATCATCATCATCATCATCATCATCATCATCATCATCATCATCATCATCATCATCATCATCATCATCATCATCATCATCATCATCATCATCATCATCATCATCATCATCATCATCATCATCATCATCATCATCATCATCATCATCATCATCATCATCATCATCATCATCATCATCATCATCATCATCATCATCATCATCATCATCATCATCATCATCATCATCATCATCATCATCATCATCATCATCATCATCATCATCATCATCATCATCATCATCATCATCATCATCATCATCATCATCATCATCATCATCATCATCATCATCATCATCATCATCATCATCATCATCATCATCATCATCATCATCATCATCATCATCATCATCATCATCATCATCATCATCATCATCATCATCATCATCATCATCATCATCATCATCATCATCATCATCATCATCATCATCATCATCATCATCATCATCATCATCATCATCATCATCATCATCATCATCATCATCATCATCATCATCATCATCATCATCATCATCATCATCATCATCATCATCATCATCATCATCATCATCATCATCATCATCATCATCATCATCATCATCATCATCATCATCATCATCATCATCATCATCATCATCATCATCATCATCATCATCATCATCATCATCATCATCATCATCATCATCATCATCATCATCATCATCATCATCATCATCATCATCATCATCATCATCATCATCATCATCATCATCATCATCATCATCATCATCATCATCATCATCATCATCATCATCATCATCATCATCATCATCATCATCATCATCATCATCATCATCATCATCATCATCATCATCATCATCATCATCATCATCATCATCATCATCATCATCATCATCATCATCATCATCATCATCATCATCATCATCATCATCATCATCATCATCATCATCATCATCATCATCATCATCATCATCATCATCATCATCATCATCATCATCATCATCATCATCATCATCATCATCATCATCATCATCATCATCATCATCATCATCATCATCATCATCATCATCATCATCATCATCATCATCATCATCATCATCATCATCATCATCATCATCATCATCATCATCATCATCATCATCATCATCATCATCATCATCATCATCATCATCATCATCATCATCATCATCATCATCATCATCATCATCATCATCATCATCATCATCATCATCATCATCATCATCATCATCATCATCATCATCATCATCATCATCATCATCATCATCATCATCATCATCATCATCATCATCATCATCATCATCATCATCATCATCATCATCATCATCATCATCATCATCATCATCATCATCATCATCATCATCATCATCATCATCATCATCATCATCATCATCATCATCATCATCATCATCATCATCATCATCATCATCATCATCATCATCATCATCATCATCATCATCATCATCATCATCATCATCATCATCATCATCATCATCATCATCATCATCATCATCATCATCATCATCATCATCATCATCATCATCATCATCATCATCATCATCATCATCATCATCATCATCATCATCATCATCATCATCATCATCATCATCATCATCATCATCATCATCATCATCATCATCATCATCATCATCATCATCATCATCATCATCATCATCATCATCATCATCATCATCATCATCATCATCATCATCATCATCATCATCATCATCATCATCATCATCATCATCATCATCATCATCATCATCATCATCATCATCATCATCATCATCATCATCATCATCATCATCATCATCATCATCATCATCATCATCATCATCATCATCATCATCATCATCATCATCATCATCATCATCATCATCATCATCATCATCATCATCATCATCATCATCATCATCATCATCATCATCATCATCATCATCATCATCATCATCATCATCATCATCATCATCATCATCATCATCATCATCATCATCATCATCATCATCATCATCATCATCATCATCATCATCATCATCATCATCATCATCATCATCATCATCATCATCATCATCATCATCATCATCATCATCATCATCATCATCATCATCATCATCATCATCATCATCATCATCATCATCATCATCATCATCATCATCATCATCATCATCATCATCATCATCATCATCATCATCATCATCATCATCATCATCATCATCATCATCATCATCATCATCATCATCATCATCATCATCATCATCATCATCATCATCATCATCATCATCATCATCATCATCATCATCATCATCATCATCATCATCATCATCATCATCATCATCATCATCATCATCATCATCATCACATCATCATCATCATCATCATCATCATCATCATCATCATCATCATCATCATCATCAATCATCATCATCATCATCATCATCATCATCATCATCATCATCATCATCATCATCATCATCAATCATCATCATCAATCATCATCATCAATCATCATCATCATCATCATCATCATCATCATCATCATCATCATCATCATCATCATCTCATCATCATCATCATCATCATCATCATCATCATCATCATCATCAGCCCG